TCGAACCAGTTCACCAAATCGAACTGAATCGTGTGAAACGGTTCGCGTCTCCAGTACGCACTAATCCACAAATTACTTAAGTTATTCGGTTTATAAACGTGCCTGACACTCTCTCTAGCGCGAAATAAACCAATATCCCGAGTTATTCAGTTACTCCTAACAGAACATTGACTGAACTGCTAAAAGAGAACGGATGATGGGATGTGCACGAGCAGAGTCTTGTCCTGCTGGGAGACGGCATCACAGTATGTTAAGGGGCGTAACATTTCCAAATACTGTTCTTTTTAGCAGCATCATATGACCCCTTTAACACTCAATTCATGATGATTCTGTGGCACTATAATAAGCAAAATTGTGTTTGACAAATTGATTGTTCTTTTTATTTGGCTACTACAGAATGTGTCATCTTTCCTTGTCTTATGACTTGTAAGTATGAGAACATTAAGACAGATGTTTTAATATTGATCGGTAGCAAAAACTGAGGATTTGAATCCGTTCTGTGAACCATTTCATGGCTCCGATTCGTTGATTTGTTTCATTGATCAAAAAGTTCATAGATTATTATTTTTTTTAAATCCTGTATTTATATTTTATATAATAAATTTCAACCATTTTGATTTATATAATGTTTTATGTTTAATATTTATATGCAGGGCTTGAAATTAACTTTTTTACTCACCAACCAATTTGGCTTAAAAGTTACCGGCCATTCATAACTTCTACCAGCCAAAAACCCCCCCCGAAATAAACCAACAGTTTGAGGCTGTCTACATGACAAAGCGACTGTTGCAAATCATTTTGTGTCGGTACTAAGGGTGTGCGATATTGACAAAAAATAATATCTCAATATTTTCTGGGATTTTATTGATAAAGATAATTAGACAATATTTTGCTGAGTGTGTTATTGTGCTGATATCTTAAGGATACCGTGGACAGCTGACTCCTAAAGTTTTTGGTATGCTTCATATTCTGTGTGGTCAGTTCACAGCAGTGATAGAAATGAATCTTTTCCAATAAGTTTAGATATATTTTTACCTTTTATGGGCATTTTTACCTTTATAAATCCATTTTTACTAAAAGTGTGCATCATCTTTTGAGTCAAATTCTTACATTTAATAAGGCAATTATAACAATACTACATTTAGGCTGTTACTAAACAAATGAAATCAGTATCAATAAAATTCATCAGAAGTTGCATATGAAGTGGCATTTAGATGTATTTACACATGTTAATGCAGCTTAGAGGGACATGGGATGCTTTAACCTGCAGTTACAAATGCATAAATAATGTTTTGATATTTTCAACATGAAATGTTGAATAGTGATATTTAAATTATTTTAAAAATTAAAAGATACTTTAAATGTGAAATTAAATCCGCCAGTAAGTGGCAGCAAGTCACTGTTAAGTGAGTCATTGCGAATGAACCGAATCATTTAAACGATTGATTTTGCTCAGAGATGCAAAACAGCGCTGTGTTTTGAATGTTTTCTGTTGGCGAAATAACGCAAAAACAGCCAATATGGTGTCTAAAACGTAAGTCTCTTGATATTAACTTATTGTTTATTGAACTGTTGTATAAAATCAATATCACATTTGTAACCATGCTGATTTAAAAAAAAAAAACAGCACTCTTCGTGTGATATTAACTATATGAATTGATATAAATATATACATTTTCCAACCCCCTTATCTTGAATTTTGAGATCATTCGTAATGCATATTAACAGACTGAATCATGCAATGAAAGAATGCACTCTAAATGCGCACAGCACAAAGTTAGTCTAACCAGACTACATCACGTCGCGTATGCGTGCACTTTGTAACTTAGGTGTGTTTTGTTTGGTTTTTGCAATATACTCTATAATGTCATGATGTCTCACGAGTTCAGTATTTGCGCTAAACCTGCGCAGGTTTGGCTTGCATGAACTTCCCAAAGAAATTAATGAGTGAACATAACTTACGAAAAGTAACCTGTCAAACTGGCTAGTGATTTGACAGCGTTACCCGCCACAGCTGATTTTTACCCGCATTTGGCGGTTTGGCGGGTGTTCATTTCTAACCCTGTTTATATGTATAATTGTTGTTTCTAAAAAAAATGTAAATACCTTTTGAAATAAAAGATAAATCAAATAATTTATTATTATAACATAATTATTTCGTTTTTGAATAGTTATTTGAGCTATATTTCTCTGTCCTGCCATTAAGAAGAAAATTACTAAAAGATTAGTCAAGCTCTCTGTCTCTGCTGAGGAGGCCACATTTCTGACTCTGCAGCTTTTTGCAGTAATAGGGTCTTATCATCACTGAGAGAAAAGCTTTGATGGGGTCTGTGTTTTCCAGAGGTAATCACACTGATTTCTCATAGAGGGCAGGGAAGCAGTTTAAAAAGCTCAGTTCAGCATGACCTCTTTTTGAGGGGGTTTAATCAATAAACCGATAAGAGATGCCATTTTAATTCACATGCCTCTCTTTATCTTGCCATTCGTTTTGGTGCGAATTATGTATGTGGGAGGCTGGCTTTGCAGTGCCGTTTGCTTTGTTTATTTGTATTTGATAGAACCGGATGGAAATTCTTAAATATATTCAGCGTGCTTCTATGAAGATTAGCTAGTCCTCTGTGCATTGCTCAAGCTTGAACAGAGGATTGTTTGAACACGCTGCCATAACTATCGCTGCAAATATCAACCACAGCTCCTAAACAAATTTTAGTCTCTCGTCTTCTCTGCTTAGAGCTTTCACTTCCTCCTGTTTTCATTAAGAGGAGGAAAGCACAGTGGCATTGCTGTGTGTGTTTTCTTCTTTTAGAATCACATGCAGAGAGCACCTCAGGGAGGAATTAAAAAAGAAAGGCTATTTTTAGACCACCAACTGAGGTTTTAGATGTCTGGTGCCCTTGCAGGTGCTAAATCACTCTTATTTTAGAAATGGTGCCTTGGCCTAAATCAGTCACTGTTGTATGAAAGTGCCCCTATGCTATTTGAAATGTTTATAATTTGGTTTTGGGAGTCCCTAACAACAGGTTTACCTGCATGCAAGGTCAAAAAACACTTTCATTTTCTTATAATATGGATTTGATTTTACGTCATTTCTCAACGACTCTCAAATGATTTGTTCAAATATCCATCTTTCCAAACCCCTCCTTTGCATAATGTTACTCTGCTCTGATTGGTCCCATGACCCAGTCTGTTGTGATTGGTCTACTGCATACAGCGCAAGTCGGAAACGGAATGCCCATCACCAGTACTGGAATACGGCTTATCAATAATTCATCCTATAATTATATATCCTATATATATATATATATATATACACAATTGCATGCTCCCTCAAAACTTGCAACATCTGTGCATTGTGCTGTGTGATAAAACTGCACATTTTAGAGTGGCCTTTTATTGTAGCCAGCCTAAGGCACACCTGTGCAATAATTGGCTTAAGGAGGAAGCTGTTAAAGATTTCTGAGCAGGGATACTTTCTGCATGGATGCCACATGGCAGGAGATCTCTTGTAATTGCAGAGTGTGAAGTGACATTGAGCTCAAGGATCAGATGCTTTGTATTTCACAGTGTACACATGTTGACGGTCGTGCATTTTGAGACACGGCTAATTGTAACTTGATAGAAAGCTCTTCCTGACCATTAAGGCCGAAAGCAGCTAGTTAAACTTGCATTATGGGCTTCTGTTGCCTTATTTCACCCGTTTTGTCTTTAGTTTTGTATTATTTATGTCTGTACAATTCAAGGGCTGGTCTCTAAATAACTTCCTACACGAGATCAATGACAATGTCACCACATTAACCTCAGCTCAAAGGCTTCTGGCTTATTATGAAATTAATCCTTTTAATTAATTGAATCATTCAAAACTTGATTTAACCATCCCAGATGTATTGAATAATTCAGCAATGGTTATATGTATTTTAAGATTTTTACTAATGGATAAAGACACCGGGCGCTTTAAGACAGTCCTCAAGCATGCCATGCTTCCTCAATTGTTTTATTACATTAAGAATTGCAAACATCTTTGTATTAAGTTTTCTGAAATGTTATGTTTGAATATGCAAATAAGGCATTAGCTGATTAAACATGTACTAATTTGCATACATTTCCCGAACAAAAATCTGAGCATTGGAAAAAGCTAGGTTCTTGTTTAATTTTGTTGACTTTTTCAAATGGCTTTACAGAAGGGATTTTTAATTATAAAAAGTCATGATCACTCCATAAATCAGAAAATACGATAAACAGCCAAAATAATAATAATAAATTCATAAAAAAAAAAAAAAACAGTTTTAGGAGTAAAATGTAAAAAATTTTAAATTAGAGAAATTAAATATGAAGACAAAATATTCAGAATATAAATAGGAATAAAACTGTAATTTTAATTTTTGCAAGTGTAGATTTCTGACTCAGAAAAATATTCCAGTAGTCTGAAAAAAAAAAATAGCAATGAAAAGCCAATTAGCGCAAAATCTCAATTAACAAGTGCATAACAAACTGTATTTTTCTATATTTTTGTAGTGTCTTGCCTTAGGCAGAGCTCTAGTGCACTGATAGCTATTAATGATGTTGATTGTTTATCACATAATGGGATGTTTGGGCCCATAAACACATGGTTGTATGCAAGGTTTGGATATAATTGTACTGCAAATGAATACCGTATTTTACATGTGGACTTTTATGTAGGCTGTATAAGACATTTAAATATATAGCCCGGAAATTGGTGCAGAAAAGTAAAATCTCCAAAAAGGCAAGTTTGATAAGGGTGGGTTTTATACCATATATGCATATTTATATAATGTGTTATAGGGTGCATCTCACAAAAAAAAAAAGCCTAGGTTAAATGTCACTTTAAAATCAGAAGAAAAGAAAAAAAATATTTTGCATGAAGAAAATTAAGCCTGTTTTAGGACCATTAAGATTAAGATTGCATATTGACTATTTTCAGGCCAAACAAATGAATTTGTTTTCAATTAAATTAACATTTATTTCTTTTTCTTTCTCCATAGTCCTATAGAATCTTGTCAGAATTTCTACAAAGACTTCACATTGCAAATTGACATGGCATTCAACGTGTTCTTCTTACTCTACTTTGGCCTGCGCGTAAGTACATATATTTAACTTTCATATTTAACATCTATTTAACACATTCTGTACACTCAATATTGTGTTTTGGCCCCAAAACTGTTAATGTTTGACTATTAATTGTTCATTCTAATGTTCATTCATCTTAATTGTTCATTCTTCTTACTAAAATGTGATCCCCTTCAGGGCTCCAGACTGCGACCACCATGTTGTCCAACTCATAAGCGCTGCCATTTCTGTTGCATTTGAGAAACATTAAACGGCAAACGAAACGAAAGCGAAACTAAACCGTGCTGCTTTCAGCTGCGCAATGCGGACTGTTCATCAGCTCGCACCGTGATGCAAACAAACTTGCCCGAGCTCAGAACAGCTTTACTTGGGAGCCAAAGAAAGCGAAACTAAACCGTGCTGCTTTCAGCTGCGCAATGCGGACTGTTCATCAGCTCGCACCGCGATGCAAACAAACTTGCCCGAGCTCAGAACAGCTTTACTTGGGAGCCAAAGTTGATTTCGCGACACTGTTACTGCACAGATGCAACAGTGCTGCAAGATCCAGTGAGAAGCTTTTGAATTCGCCGCACAATGATAAGGTTGCTGCGAGATCTAGTGAGAATCATTCAAATTCTGCACAGAATTCTCGGTTATAAACAGCGCTGACATACGTCAGGAAACCAGAAGCGATAACGCTAACTGTAACCATGGTGTTGTGGTAGAAATAATCGAATGCATTACAATCATTCATTTCAGTGTTTGTACAACCTTTTGAGAGAGAAATTCAAGCACTTTTCAATGACTTTCAAGCAGTTCACACAACTATTTCCAGCACTTTAAAGCTCTAAAATGATCCAGTTTGAATGTTATTTTTAATGGGATGACCAAAATATACTTTGTGGTAAACAAACACTTGTGTAAAATAAAATAAAAATACATCAAATCACAATTATAACCAGTAGGGCAGCAGAGGAGCACTTATTGGCTTATTAATCATTAATTTCTACTTTTTCTCTATATTTTGAAATTATAAAATCACTATTATAAAATATCAAATCATCAAGAAATCAGATTTTGTCAGAATTTTACACTTTTTTGTGTATGAAGTAAGAAAAGTGGCAAAGTGCCTTGAAAAACAAGCTTTTCTTCAATTTGCTACTAAATCACACATAGTCACTGAAGTTGGTCAATTCCATATACTAGAAGAATAATGGTAAATTTAATAAGAGTGGAATATATACATTTTCTATAAAAAAAAAATTGATTTTGCACCTATTACTGTTGTTAATAAAAGTAAATTTTGTATGCATCTTAACTCAAGCTTAGTGCTTTGCTGTCAAATCTGTATAAACAATAAACAAAAGAAAAATAAACATGAAATGAACATGTAATATTATTAGTAACTGCACTTATTAATGCAAAACAATAGTAATTTTATGATTAAATGATCTATATTTTAATACTCCCGCACGCCACCCCCAGTGACCATCTGTAGAACTTAGTGGCGCTGGTGCCACTGCTCTCAAATGTTAGTC